TTTGCTTACCTCATGCAGAATAAACAATAAAATCTCTCCACCGTTTAGGATAAAAAAAAGGAGTGAAACAAGGCTGTGTTCTCTCGCCAATCCTCTTCAACCTAGTTATGAATAAGATTTTAAAAGATACTTTAGACGCTGCAAACCTGCTGGAACTAAACTTATATCCGAATAAGTACAATCTAGAGAACAGGATTATATCATACGCCGATGATGTGGTAATCATCACCAAGGATTTAGAGGAAACCTCCAATCTTATTCATTTGTTGAAATTGATGAGCTCGAAAGTCGGGCTAGAAATAAACTTCAAGAAAACCATGATTATGTTAGCAAGACACACGTCTCCCATAGAAAGTATCGATGTTGGGTCTGAGGTGATTAAGGTGGTTACCCAAATAAAATATCTAGGAATTACCCTAGATAATAGAGGGGGCTGTAAAGAAGAACTCAGGATAAGAATACAAAAAGCTAAGGTAGCTTTTTACAAGTACTTTAAGTTATGGAAGACAAGGGAGATACCTGCCTTCACACGACTACGTATCTTTAATTCCACTGTGATTACCATTCTATTATATGGCTGTGTAACATGGGAAATAAGCAAAGCTGATAATAGGAAATGTCAAACGTTTATCAACAAGTGTTTAAGAATAATTAACGGCATTTTCTACCCCAGACTAATATCGAACGAAAGGTTATGGAAACAATCAAAACATATTCCTTTCCATATCATACTAAAGAAAAAACGAATTAATTTCTTAGCGCACATTCTGAGACACCCCAACTGCAATTTGGTTCATGATGCTTTAACTTGGCTTTTTACCTGTAAAGGTAAATCATACAGCAGATACAAAACATTAAGGCTCCACCGGGTATTGAAAGACGTTGCTGGCCTGAACTTAAACTGGAAACAGTTCACCAGACTAAACAAAAATAAAAAATCTATCAAAAGCTTCTTAAGGTAAAATCTGGGTACCTGAGATGATATCCCCTATCCGTTACTTCACCCTTACCCACAAATATACCCTTCCTCTCCCTCAGCCACCTCAAGAGTACAAGTTTTCTTTTATTTAAATAACATATTTTTTTATTAAATGCGAATCTTTAAACATTAACTTAAACCAGCCTTCCCCTATCCAATCATAATTAGATATAGGTATGGGTGTGGGCTGTCTTATTTGGCCCTGTACCTTTCTCAATCAGCCCATAGACGTTTAAACGATAATCCTTGGACTATTGTGCGTACAAGTACGTACGGCTTGCCCACAAACGTGTAAAAGGTTTCTCATATTTTCTTCCCCACCTTAATCCAATTAGATGGAAATGAGAAAAACCTAGCGTAGCTCTGTTGTTCCTACAACGTTGAGAGGGCGAATGCGCTTTATCACGTATCACGTAAAATGCCAATAAAACAGTGAAAATCTCTAAAAAAAATAAGGCTACTATCAAGCACTAATTTAAAAAAAATATTTATTTTCAAAAAATTAATATCTCTGATACTAAAAAAATCCTATTTATATATAAAAAAAGCATTTAATATATTACTTTCAGAGCCTGCTTGTAAAGCCTTGAAAATTTAATTTACATTGGACTAGCTTAGCCCAACCCAAAAATTTTATTTGCAAAAATAATCTAAACGCAGTTAGATAAAATTTTTAAAAAATCATTAATTGCTCATCCTTTAAGAATTATTTATTACCAAGCTCTAGTGTTGTTAAACAGCTTATTTTAAGCCTATTTTTAAAAATGGCTAACTCAATATTTTAGCCATTATTTCAAGTCTTAAGATTTTGCTCATAGATGGCATAAAGATTTGAACATCTATTAGGGAAATTTCGAGGCTTAAGTAATACTTATCTGGATAAAACATTGAGTTAACCAATTTTAAAAATGGGCTCAAATTGAGTCGTTTAACAACACTACCAAGCTCAATCAAATTTTTTAATAAAAATTGGCATGGTAAAATGGTATGATTTAGAACAAAGAGGGAAGTGAGGCTTAAAAGCATTTGTAAAAGTGTGTAAAAAAAAATCTAGCTCTGAATTATTTTTTTTCAATTTGCTCAATATTCTTAAATAAAATGTATTTATCTGCTAAAGACCAGAAAAATAAAAAGATAATTGTCTAGGTAAAATGTCCAAAAATAAAATGGGTTTATCAGCTCTGACCATGAGAATAAAAACAAAATTAAATTGCACAGGTAAAATGTCCAAAGATTGAAAATCCCAAAAGAAATAACATAATTGTAAAATGTAAACTCTACCCCCCTTCCCCTCCCGCCCTAAAAACCATGGAAATATTTGTTAAATTAAACGATTTTTTATTTCCATATTTTTATTTATCGAATATTGTGTGAATTCCAATTCATAAAAAAAGAATGAATTTTTAAAAACTTATTTTAACATTTTCTACATCAAATTCGTAAACTTAAAATATGATTGCTTTATTCGCTTTTCTACGCATATGCAGGAATGTGTAGTTTATGCGAATGCTAGGCAGTTGTGTAGGGCAAACCATGTCAATGTGGTAAAAATTTAAAGTTTTCTTTCGAGAAAATTTTCGATAATATATGAAGGGCATGGTGAACTATTTGTAACTTTTTTGGGCGGTAAACCATTATTTTAAACATTAATTAAGCTTTTTTTATAAAGAGTATAAATAAGGGGAAAAAATATTACGGTTCGCTTAGAGTTTTTAAAATTTTTACAAAGTAGGTTCATTTAAGTTTTAAAAGTTTCCCAAAAATTTTGAAAAAATATTAGCGTTATAAAAAATAAGTAAAAGCTTATAGTTGATTAAGTTTGTTTAAAAATATAATAAAATAGATATTGGTACAAAAATTATTTTTTAAAAAATTGGTAATAATAATAAAATTAAGATATATTTAAAAGAAAACAAACTTGAAAAATTATAAAATTTAGATTTGTTCCTTATTCTGCTAAATCAAACCATTCAACAAAACTAGCTTAATGTAATTCGTTACATTTCAAAATCTTTTTTCTTGTTGCAGATATAACAAAAAAAAATCAAAATTCTATCTTATAAAAAAAATTTAAACATTAATAAATTAAACTGGTTACTTTTGCGAATTTATTATTATAAAATAAAAATATTTTAATTATATGTACAATCATAATATAACCAAACCGATCAAAATATCGGATCGGATCAGTATTTAAAAATGTAAAAACGCTATAAATCGGTCTCGATCCTATCCGACATTTATAATAGGCATAGCCTTATTTATATTGATTTTTTTTACCAACTATTTATGAACCAATGTCATAAAAAAAAATATATATATTTTCTATTTAAAAAAACCCATATTTTTTTAAATTATCCACACGTTAATATTTAAAATATTTGTAATGTTTATGGGTGAATGTAATGTTGTTAAACAGCTGGCCATTTGATTTTTTTAAAAATGCTAAATCAAGATTTTAGCCAAAATATTATAACCTAAGTCTCGAAATTTCGCCAATAAAAGTTCAAACCTTTCTGCTACCTGCGGGAAAAATTACTAAGCTTGAGTAATTTACTTTAGCTAAGAGTTAACGGTTTTTAAAACTTGGCTAAATATAGCCGTTGAACAACACTAGCTGAATGTGACTCGTTAGATATTTTAAAATACTTTTCTTGTTGCGGATAATATAACAAAAACAGTGTATTTTTAACTATATTTTTTTTAAACATTACAACAAATAAAGTGTATTTTTGTTCCTTTCATTTATTTATTATTATAAAATTATTTATAAAATAAACAAAAATTATATATACAATCATAAAATGACCAAAAACAATAAAAAATATCGGGTCGGACTTTTAAAAAATATCGGCCAAAACTTAAATTTTTTATAAACGCTAAATATCGACGCCGATCCTATATTTAATATTGGTACAGCCCTAATTTCTGTGCTTAATCCGACAATTTTAAGACTACGGCACTGATGCTCATTCAACATTCATAAATGTCTCATATTTTCGATTTCCTTTTGAAATGAAACTATAAATATTAAATCGAGCCAAAATTATTTAAAATAATTAAATTATAAAAACTCGTTGAAAAATAAACCGGAAATTTTTAATTTAACCCTGGAAAATTTATCATTGGTAAATCCATTAGTAGATTTATAAAAACTCAGTCAGGCTGAAAAATAATTATTTTTTTTCTCATAGACCGGGAATTTTTAATTTAACCCTGTAATACTTAGCATTCGTAAATCCAACATATCTATTAAATCAAATTCGTGAATTGCGGCATTAGCGGGTATATGGGTATTATCTTTTAAATATGTGTCTAAAATTGATTAGTCTCGATTTTTACGAAATTAGAATAAAACGTTACGAAATTTTCAACATCATTTTTTTAGAATGCATAATATATCTTACCGATTCATAATCATCATACTCGAAAAACCCTTTCTAAGCAAATTTTGTAATAAATATTTAGGTTATTTTAGATTGTGGTTATAAATATGGGGAAAATAGGCCAATTTTAAAGATCCCTGTAAAAAAAGTACCCAAAATTTTCTTAATTTGAAGAGCAAGGATGAAAGATTTAGTCTTAGTAAAACATATTTAACGATTTTGAGACTATGTTGTTCTCAACAGGACTACTTACGATAAATTAGTGAGATCAGTGCAACAAGGCAATTTTAGCTTGTCACCTTACTAATTATTACATTAATAACAAATAAAATTATTTTTAGCTATATTTTTATAAGATAGAATGTTATATGATAAAAAATTTTGCTTACTTCTAATGTTAATTTGTAAATTTTATGAAGATAAAATAAGAGACCTGCAGGACCAGCCCAGGTACCCTTACCTGGTCATATTTTAATTTTTTAAATATAGGCCCAACCCGGGCACGGCTGATAAAAATATTAACGTAACCCAGTTCAATTATTTCAGGGTTAATACCTAGGCTTGGACTGTAAATTGGTATCTCTACAAGCGTGTGATAATTATATTGGAAAATAAACTTAATACTCTGTAAATACCTTGTTTTTCAGCCAATCTCTTTGAAGCTATTTCTTCTCTTTTCTGGCGTATAATGGCTAATCTCTCCAAATCTTTTCTAGCTTCTTCAGTTTTACCTTGTATGTGGAGTTGTTCGTATCTTTCAGCAGCTTTTTGTTTTTCAATAACTTCCCTAAGGGCATAAATTTTAGGTTTATGTTATTAATATAAAATAGAAATTTTATTAATTATTTTTATAAATTTTGTGGTCAGGGGTAGGCACAAATACTTTTTCGCATCTGTATTTAGTAATTATTTGTGAAAAGTAAAAAAAATTCTTGTATTGGCCATGATTTTAAATAAATATAAGATACATTTAATAATTGCTTCGTAATAAATTGAAATGTAACTGTAAAACCCACAATTTATTTAATTAAATATTAATTTTGTAATGTGAGTTAGAGAAACAAACAATATCTTATTTGTTTCATCACATTTTATAAAAATGTTTGGCATTCTGAAGTCGAAAGTGAACGAAAAACCTTTATTTTTGTAAAATATGATATAGATACAGAAAAGATAGACAAGATGTGAATTTTGAGTATCTTTTTAATAAGATATTATGCTGCTTATTATAATATATTTTAACTAGAAAAGGCACCAAATCTCTGTCATTTATCCAGATTAGACAGAAAGTTCTTCAAAAATAAATAATAAAGTTAATGCACAATCCAAACTGTGCTAACTAAAAAAAACACTTTCATCCTCCAATTTTATACTCCATCTGATAATAATTATCTCTTAGTAGTATTATAAATGTATTTCATTTTATTTTAAATTATTAGTATGCCTTCATATACTTAACAAGTCATTAGTAAGGGAATCTGGTATAATAAATATGTATGAAATATATTAATATACTTGTGCAATATGTGATGTTTGCAATTTATTAATTATAATACTGCTGTATATATAATGTTTGTACTGCAGATGTAATAAAATGACTACATAATTTTCAATAAAATAATATTATTTTTATAATAAGTATTGTGAGTAATGACTGAGCCATTTATTATTATTTTATTTAAAATACTTCCTTACTAAAAAGTATTCATACTCACTTATAGAAATTCTATTTCCAAAGAGTATTCATAAATGTATTTGTATTTAAATATTTTATTCAAAATTTTTATGTAGATATTTAGTATGGAATTAAATTTTATAGATATTTTACATTTATTAGTAACAATATGTCAATTGATCATATATTTAAATTTATATAAATATAACAATATAAAAATAGCAGTATTCATCTTTACAGACTGCTTAATATCTAACCTATTTATTCTTCCCAATAATGCCTAAATTTTGCCATCGATTTCTGGGATGCCAATAAATCTTCAATCTACCTTTGCCCTTCTTCATGTTTGAAGAAAATTTCATATTTCTATTATCAAACCTACATCAACCTTGACAGTGGCTATGAATGGCTTGAAGCTATCTCCAGCCAAAATCATGGTCTACACCTATCTTCTGAACAATTAAGAATATCAAATGTATTCATTCTGGTTGTAATCGTTCCTCCTTTAACCAGTTCTCTTCAAAACATCAAAGTTGAAGAAAATGGACACCAACCATTACTCTGTCCACTTTCCAAAGGTCGCTATCTTGGGAATATACTTGTGCAGGCATATTCACTAAATCTAACACCCATAAAAATTTATTTCAGTGGCCGAAATAAAATAAATAGACAAATATTCAGAGTTAAACTATTAAATTAGTTCCTGTTGTCACATCAATCATCATAAACTTGTGGACATGAGACACTTTTGGAGAAAGAATGAAATATTCATCTCACAGGCAATTCTAAACATTGTATATAATAATATTGTTTTAAAATATTTTTAATAATATATTTAATGCATTTATATTGTTATGTTCGTATAAATTTCAATATATTATCAATTGACATGTATTTATATTCAAAATATACCTTTTTTTAAATAAAATTATCTTTCAAAATTTCCCTAATCCGTTTTGTTTTTATATTGATATAGAGAATAAAGTTTGGTTGTTTTCATGAGAAAAAAATACCAATACATAAAAAAATAACAAACAATTGTGGATAAAAAGTTAATATTAAAGTTTTACCTTTCTTTTCGTGATAATTGAACTTTTGCTGTGAGATCCAATTCTTCTGGTTTTTTAGTAGCTCTAATGGGTACTCTGTTTAAATTTTCTATTTCTATAAGACCTTGAACCCCTTTAGCCTTACCCTATGGTAATTTACTTTTATGAATATAATTGTAAAAATTTAGAACCTTAATATTTTCATCCTCACTTGAACTAGCATCAGATAATTTTATTTTTTCAACTTCTTCTTCTGCTGATGGACTTACATCTCTTTGCTAAATATATATATAATACTTATTCTAAAAAAATTTATCTTTAGAAGGCATACAGGATTTTTATGGGAGGGGGGGGGGGTTACTATTTTTCCCTTAAACTTTATTAGAGATCTTTAGGTCCTTATATTTGATTTTTATAAAAATTAATTTTGAGGCTTCACATTATTTTATAAAATTTAGTCATTATTTAAAGTTATTAACTTTTGCTCATTTTTCTTTCAAATTCTTTCTTGTAGTGATATATTGTAAACATTTATTAAAAATTGATGGGAGGCGGGGGGGGGGGTACAAGAAAAGGCTTTATGATGGGGTGAACCCCCCCCCCCATTTACTGGCTATTAGGATAAGTAATAAACATTTAATTCCAAATATAATTTTTTTTTTAAATTGTAAATAAAATTTATTAAACCTATACCCAGAGTAAGATATATATAACAATTATTATATATAAATTAGATAATTATTACAACTCTGGCTTGCTGTAATTGACGTTGCATTTCTTCTGGAGCAGTAAAACATCTTGCTTTGCCTTTATGACTATATTTTGGGGCTTGTTTACTATATATAGCAACTATTCGTTTAATATTACTACCTCTTCCTCGTCTAGACATTTAAATTTTATCGTCGAATCTTGAAAAGTTATTTCTATGGTTTTTAGAATACACTAAATTTTTTAAATTTTGACCAGCCACTTATTTAACTTTTCTTGTCTTGTTGCAGGTGATAGGTAATAATTTTATGACATATACATAACAAAATTTAGAAAATATTAAAGAAATGAAATAATTTTTGTTTATCTCTGGCCTTATAGATTTCCAAAACCTTTCGGGAAGCTAACCCGTCACTGAGTCTTAATGATGCGACAAACAATTTATATATTTTTAAAAAATTTTAAGTATATTACACATTTCTTCAATAAACTTTTTCAGCCTTGCATAAAACGTAATATATAGATAAAGTTAATTAATATTTTTATAAAATTAATACATTTTGGAAAAAAAAAGAAAGACCTCAAAGTGAACGATATGATAAAATAAACAACTAATTAACCAAATTGGACGGATTATTTGACTTTCCATCATCAACACCATTACCAGAGGCTAAAAATTAATATTTTAATAAAATTAATATACAATTTAAAAGAAGCACATCCCTAATATGTTTCCATTATTTCATTTCCTCTCGAATTCCTAACGAATTTAATTGATTGAATCAATAAAAATATCAACTCTTTTTTTTATTCTAATAAAGTTATTTCTAACCCCTTTGAAGTAAAAAATATCTATCTTAGGACTTGACTGATTCGTCAACTCCCACTAAGTTCAAGTTTCATGATGGTCATTGTCTACATAAGTGGTGTGTATTCAATTTTTTTGAATTGCGGGATGGGGGATTGGGAGGGGGAAGGGGTTTGCATCTAAATTGAATTAATGATGAATCAATTAAAAAAATTTTATTCACCTATGCCATTTTAACACAATTTGATTTTATACATGCTCGGTTTAATTTTTAGATTACTCTTTCTAATGCTAACAACCATTCAATTTATATGTCATTCCTATTTAAATTATGATGTCTGAAATATTATATTTAATATTTGAAAATAAATTATATATCTGAAATTACATTATCTTTTTACTTTCTTTTTTGAAATGGTTCATATTCAAATATTATAACATTATAAATACATTTCTAATTGAATAATGAATCAAAATAAGTCTAAAATAAATATAAGAAATATAAAAATTAATGGTGAAAATATTAAGTTCAGATGAAATAATAATCATCATTATTTCAAATAAATTAAAATAGATTGCCTCACTTTACCACCTGTTAGAGAGCCCTGGGGCTTATATTCTCTATCAGCCAAATAGGTTTATTTCTGACTGACACTTTATAATATCCATAAATTTGTATATATTTTGAGATTTACCAAATCTACTCTGATAAAAGATGACAAAATTAATTCAACTCCAGATAATTAGCGTCAAATAGTAGCGTCACTAGGGAAGGGGGGCGCAGGGGCTCGAGCCTTCTGAAAAATTTGAATAGCCCGTTGAAGCAAAAAAAATGTTTTTTAATTGCTCCTTGATATCCCCTTGAACTAAATAAATTTTTTTAATTGCCCCTTGAACGATTTCCTTTATAATTCTATTGAGTAATATATAGATTTAATTTTATTATTTAAAAATTAATAAGACTATCTAAATTTTTATCAGAAGAATACTACTATAATTATTTTATTAGATTAATACATATAAATTAAATTTTCCCTATGATAGCTTGCAATCAAATTCTGTGATAAAAATATATCAATATCACTCACTAAATATTAATTTAGCATTAACCGTTGAAGCTTAATTGACTTTTAAGGTTTAAATTATTATATAACTCTAATTAAATAAATATAATCTTTTATTAAAAGATCTTGGATGCTTCCTAACATTGTGAGCTTGAACCTGGCATGACATCTATCGTAAAAAATGAATAAAAATCTCATTCTTCATCATTTTTGACGGGCTTTCTACTAGTTTATAAAAAGAAAGTAGACATATAGTTTATAATCCTCTATAATATATAATTATTTATAAAATATTAAGTAAAATGTCACTTTTACAGACGTATTTGACAATTATATAATATATTACAGTTTATTTTAAAATTCTACTAATAAATGCTTTTGATAATAAATGTAAGTAATAATTTACATTCAATTATTTAACGCCATCTATATATTTAAATTATTATATATCCCACAATGGATGTAATAAATTATATATATTTTCTTCTCCATTTTTAAGTGTTTTAAGGAAAGCTATTTTTTCTTCTTTGAAAAACAGTTTTGGGTTAAATTTTTAATACGAATTTTTTGATATTATTACAAACTACTATTATTTTAAGATATAATATACCAACTAGAGGTGGTGCGACAATAATATATAAAATCTTAATTGCTTTCATTATATCACTCTGGTTCTTATTTTATAGTTACAAAATGCTTCATTACTAATTTGGCATCCTTGCCGTGTAAATAACTCAAGGCTTCAATATATTTGCATAATTTCATCTAAAGATTTTTAGTGTTTTTGTTTTATCAATTTATCTAACATAATAAATTCTGATATGGGTTACCATCGTGAGTGTCATGGCCATGACTGCAAATTAACCAGCATCTATTTTTAGTGTGACTATGTAATTTAAGATTATTACTACAGCTGCTGAAAGCATATGATTGCATATTTTAGATAAGCAATAATGGTCAACTGTAGTTTATATATCATCAAAAATGGAAGATAATCTTTTGGAAATTTAATATCTCACAATAATTTTATCGATTACTTATCTAGCTTCCATCATATCATTTAAGAGAAAGCTCTAACCACCATATAGGATGATTTGGATTGGTCGTTTATATTCTCTTTTTCAAGAATTGTTGATTTGGTAAGGTCCATAAATTTTTCCTTATTAGTCCATTCTATAAAACATTGTCTAAAATGGTAACAGAGAGTTATATTAGTTTCATGACCTTTTGTCAATGCACTTGCTAAGAATTTTATAACCTTATGTGGTTTTTCCATTATTAATTGAGGAATGCATATGTATTAATTAATTAACCTTTTTTATCACTGTAATTCTTTAGACGCAAAATTTTTTTATATCAGCAATCGAAAATATTTTATACTGTAATAAATAGATTTTGTATTAAAAAATATTATTTTTAAATATCTTATATTGTTTTAATTATTTATATGCTTGTTTATTTTGTATGCAAAATATAATAAATGACAAAATTTAATAAATGACAAAATTTAATAAATGACAAAATATGAAATTCGGAATAGTTGTTTAAAGTTAGCAAATTTTAAGAAAGTATAATATATTAATATAAAGCCGAAGGCCCGCAAAATGGGGGGTATGGGGGGAAATTGTTAAGGCTAGCGACGCCCCTGGCGTCAAATAATAATATTTTGGAAAAAATTATAAATATATTTTAGTCAGTTTCATTTACATATTATTCCTTCTTCATTTTTATATATTCGTACATTAGTTTTAATTACATTTTTATTTTGATTTTTAAATGCTTAATTTAGTTTTAACACAAGTTTGAATATTTAATGAAAATGTAGTTAACTTAATATTAAATAAAGAAGATGAATAAAAATAAAAAATTATGCTTTGGAAAAACTAATTGTTAGAATGACCCCTATGGAAAAAAGAAAGATATATTTTAAATAAATGTATGAAAGTCTGTTAGTTTTTATTGAATATAGGCTATGTACAATTAATAATCTCTGAAATTTAATATAATATAACCTTGACAACATCTTTTAGCCTTTTTCCTAAAATAACACCAACCGCAATCAACGAGCATGGTTACCGAAATAAAACTGTAGCAAACTAGAATCGAATTCAAGTCAACTACGTGAGACATTACCTTGTATCACGTAGTTCGGTAAAATTTAGCAAATACTTATGGTTGCTTTGCGCCGCTAAATGTAAGGAACAATTGTAAGAATCGCATATAATATAATAATAACACCCAACGATATCAATCGGATTGTTAAAAAGTAGAGTTTTTAGGGCTTTGAACTCGAGTTCGTCGAAAAACACGATGCGTCGGCTTAATGAAGGGCTTCAGAGTTAGTTCAATGAGTCAGCATTCCAGTGAGCTCTTCAGAGTCGACTCATTAGGTGAAAAAAAGAAAATTTAAATACCTTATTTAAAGCTGAATTAAAAATTTTTGATATTACAAAAATATACTGCTTATTTTTTTGCTAAGGGTAATATGAAAATATAATTTTAAAAAAATTCCCTGTTTTGAGCTCTTTTTGGTATTGAAATGAAGTTTTAAATGTTGTGCCTAGTAAAAATTGGCACTGCCTTTATTCTTTACTCCATGGGGAAAATAAAAAGGAGAAATTTTTAAATATTCTGTTTTGAGCTTAGTTAAAGGTTTTCGATATTATAAAGAAGTTATAAGATTTTTAGGTATATTAAGAAATTGACCCCCATATAGAAACAATATGGTGGTGGTGGATCAGGCACAGCTCGTATTATGGAATGTTGATTCTGTTGAATCACTCGTATTGAGCCAAGAAGACCTACCTAGTACCTATATCCCGAGAAACTGTTGGTGTACTTAGTATATCGGAATTCATATAATTCAAGGATGATAAGCTGTTCCAGTAACTCCACCAGTATTCTGCAAAATGGTATGTTGCAGTTTCTATGAAGAAAATAAGTTGCATCCTATCGATTGCTAGTAAACATTTGACTATAAATTAAAATATTGATACATTTATGTTTTTATCGAATTGTAAAGTTCAATATTTAAAAAAAAATTTATTTTTTTTACATATTAGAAAGTTTGAATCTTTCTTTCTTTATATCCATCTAAATAAAAAAAACACAATGCAAAATAAACACCCTCAATTTGGAAGCACTAGCAATTGATTCTACAGAATTGGGAGATTTTTTGAAGATTTTTCCCCAAAATCTTGAGCAAAAATTTTTTGAATATCCTAAAATTGAAGATTTTTTAAAAGAAGATTCAAACATTTGTGATTATGGAAGTTTTTTTTATGCATAAAAATCACAAAGATTTACTTATAAAAGATTTTTACAAAAAGGATTTGGAATTTAGGTAAAATTGGATCCAAAATCTTGTTTGAGCAAACTTTAA